ACGAAGTCTAAAATAAGTGGGGGAGATTTGTAACGCCCTGTTCCTGGTACGTATTTTTAATATAAGTTTTTGCATTTTTACACTGGGACTCGACGAGTTGGAGGCCCAACTCGTCGAGTAGATGAGAATTTGTGGACGCGGGTGGAAGAGTCTACTAGCCGATTCAGAAGCCCCGACTCGACGAGTAGACCTATCTGGATGAAACCCTAAATTTTAGGGTTTGCACCCTATTTAAACAACTTATTTGGCATCCACTCCAGCCTCCATGACCCTCAGACCCTATTCTCGAAACCCTAATCAGTTGTGAGTGTTCTTGAGCTACTTTGTGCCATTTTATGTGTTTTTGAAGCTTGAGAAGAAGGAGGAAGCTTGGGAGATCAAGAGGGAACAAGTAGATCCAGAGATTTTGTCATATTCCCAGCTCACTTGAGGTATAAAGTTTGTACCTTGCTCATTCATTCATTAGATCTCTCCATGTTTGATTTGAGGGCCATCTTTTAGCAATTTTGTGAACCTTTTTGGAGTATGGAGTGTGATCAGAAGTTGTAACTTCAGATCCAGATCCCTTTCAACCCCTATAGCAATAAAGTTTACGAAATTGTCATGCTTTAGCCCTTTCCTTTGGCCTAGACTTCATTTTAGACTTGGAAATGGTGTTTTTGGCTCATAACACCTTGCATGCACGTAAAGTTCATAACTTTACGTATAATATCGACCCTGGGAGGTCAGATCTACGTTTTGAATGCGTTAAGCCCAACTGAAATCGACTGCATGAATTTGGACTTTGGGGGACTCAGCGAGTCGTTCATAGGACTCGGCGATTCATGTTATGGTTCCCCAACCTTTTCTGTTTCGGAGCAATCTGGTTGAGTCTAGAAGAGGACTCAGCAAGATGGACGTGAATATGGACTTAAAGATCAAAGAACTCGACGAGTTCAAGGATGAACTCGGCGAGTTCAAGACAATGTCCCAACTTATATGAAGAAGAACTCGACGAGTTCAACAAACAACTCGGCGAGTCAAGGACTAAACACTTCAATTTGTATGAAGAAGGACTCGACGAGTTCATGGACGAACTCGGCGAGTCAAGAGCAAAAAGGTCCCGATTCTGTATGAATGGGAATTCGACGAGTTCTTGAAAGACTCGACGAGTAGGATCGAAGTTCCAGTATTTTGTGGATTATGGAACTCGGCGAGTTGGTGGACCAACTTGGCGAGTTGAGTCAACCAGATGTTGACTTTGACCAGGGTGTTGACCTTGGCTTTGACTTTGACCTGAGTTGACCCTTGAAAGGGTTAAGAGTATGAAATGGTAATTAAGGAAGGTTGTTATGTGTAGGAGTTTGAGAGGAGTTGATTCCAGCATTGATGACAGTTCTGACACTTCAAGACATTGAGGTGAGTTACCTTCCAGTAGAAGTGGGTCTACGGCCACAATGTCGGCCCACTAGTAGGGATTTGTTTGTCAGGTAATTGCCTTTGTGATAATTACCTGGGTTTGCCACTATCTGATATGTTCTACATGCTCGTATGTTATGATGTTAGGTGATAGTGGTAGTAGGCGGAATAGTCCCCATGTTCCGGTTGTAAGGACCGAAGGGGTAGGTCGGGCACCCCGGTATGCCTGACAATATGATTATGTTATGTTATTATGTGGTAGTAGTAGTAGGGGTGAAATAGTCCCCATAATCAGTTGAGATAAACCAGAGGGGTAGGTCGGACACCCTGGTATGTCTGACAAGGGTAGGTTAGGCACCCCGGTATGCCTAGCAGGGTAGGTCAGGCACCCAGATATGCCTGACAGTATGTTTATAGTATGGTATGTGGTATGATGGGGGAACTCACTAAGCTTTGTGCTTACAGTTTTCAGTTTTGTTTCATGTACCTCTTCGTCGAAGGGGAAGTAGTTGGCACGGTAGTAGCGCATCACACACACACATAAGATTTCCGCATTACGAGATTAATGAGATTGTACTCTGACATTATTACTATTTTATGATATGATTTGAGACACGTGACTATGTTTTATGAAATGATATGAATCTTTGATGTTTTTCAGTAAACTGTTTTATAAGTTAATTAAAAAACAAAATTTTTGGTCTTGAAAATTAGGATGTTACAAAATAATAATAATAAAGTGGAGTGATTAAAATGCAAATTTTAAACAAATGCAGTAACTAATGGTAGCTTAAATAAAGTATAATGACTAAAATAAAATATTTAGAAAAGTTTAGTGACTAATTATAACATTAACCAAGTTGTTTTATATTATAAACAAACTATCACTAGTTTAAATGACTAAAATGAAAAATATAAAATAAAATATAAAAGTTTAGTGACCAATAATAATTTAAATAGAGTGTAATGATTAAAATAAAAACAATTGAAAAAGTTAATTGACTAAAAATGATCTAGACCTTAATAAAAATTGTTAGACAGTACTAAACGTGTATACTAAAAGAAGCTGAATTAGGAAACTTACAAATTCATTATTTATACACTCCATCCTATCACACTCCATTCTATTTTGACTGAATTTTATTGGCTACCTTCTACTACATTGAAAACTTAAACTCATCTTTTTGTTTTTATTACTGCTGTCTTTTTTCATTTTATTTCTTTTTTTAATTATATTTCTTTTTCATATTATATTTAAAATAATATAATTTCAATCAATAAAAAAACCTTAAAAACTATGTAGGGTGTCTAAATTATAAAATGTGTATCTTTTTAGCCAACCTCCCATATATATATATATATATATATATATATATATATATATATATATATATATATATATATATATA